TGGTTAAATCGGCAATGGTCCGAGAGAGGCCCACACATCTAAGGCAGACAGTGGTAAGTGCTACCTAAGATGTGGAAACATGGAGTGGGATTGAGTAGCCTCAGCCATGGAGATCAGTGTAGCGTAAATGGAAAATATGTCATTTGTGTTTGGTCTTGAAAGATGCAGGGGATGTGACTGGGAAGAGGGATGAGGAAGGACAATGCAAGTTGACAGAACATACTGAGAACTACAGTTAAGATGGATTATCAAATAAAGTCAGCTGTATTTGTGATGTTTGTGTCTAAAAAATGATTCTAAAGAGGAGGAGTAAAGGAAGTCTATGTGACTGTATAAAGGTCAGGAAAACTGGGTTGTAAAGAGGTGGGATTAAACCACGTATTTTCCTTCTCTGTTAAAAGATGGCTGGCTCTGAGTGGATAATTACTCCGTGACCAGCTGTGGAATTGGGAGCTGTGTGAAACCTTGATGGTAAGGGGAATGAGGGCTGCCTGGATGATTTGCTGGGTTTCATCACAAGATTATTTGGAGATACCTAGAAATTAAAAGATGATGGAAGGTAGATGACTGTAAGGAATTAAAATCAAAAGAAAACTAAATTTTAAGAATCAAGCCTGAATCTGTTGATGTATTTAAAGTTACAGATGTCATTGTTTCTCCTCTGGACTGAAAATATTACAGGATAATATTTTTCTTGGATAAACAAGTTAAAGATGTTCAGGTACTAATGCAAGTGCTTGGAGCTGAGGGAGCAAGACCTGTGTTACATGAATTTTTTGTGGGGTCAAGTTATAGGAGACCAGAGGTGTGTGTTTTTAATAAATGACATCATTTTACACATAGTGCTTTAAAACTTGTCTTTCCTAGTTAAAAAAAAAAAAAGAGATTGTTGGGGAAAAGTCTGTGTTAGTATAAATAGATTTAACTCATTTTTAAACTGCTGTATATATTCCATACTATGGATATATTACAGTTTATTTAGCTAACTCCCTACTGATGGATATTTGTGTTGTTTCTAATGGTCTACTTATAAACAGTGCCACAATCAGCTTCTTCCTAGCCTTGTATGAGCTTTCTTCATGCTAGTCCTTTCTTATTCCTTATGACTGGATGATCTTAAAATGCTGGAGACCCTTGAAATGTAACAGCAATGACCAACAATATCCCTCAAAATTGCCCAAGCCATTTCCTTTGGTCAATTCTAAAGGTTAATACTTGCTGTGATTTAGCCATATATGTCTAGTTGAAGCTGCTGAGACCCTGGCCTTACTTCTGGAGTGAGTTTTCTTTATTCTTCTGCTTGGCTGTCTTCAGACGACCTTTGTCCCAATGGCGCAGCTGAAGCAGCGCAGAGTGAGAACGCTCTTTAGTAGACAAAGTCCATGACTCTCGGTCCCGTGACCCGTCAGAGTGTTGTCCACTGTTTAACAGGGAAGGACTTCATTTGGGATGATGAAGTGAGAAATCTTCTCTTTAAATCTGTTGTTAAAACTGGTCCTTTGTGATCTCATAATCTGGGAAAATCCCTGAAGAGTAATAACAGGTAGTTAAGTTTCATTCACAGTTGAACGATTCACCCATAGACATTTCTTAGCAGCCTAGGAAGGAGTCATAACTATGATAAAGATTTTGTTGATAGGATTATTTCTGTGGCAAGGTAATACTGCCTTGATACAAGAAAACAAAAAGCCTTTATCTTTTCTTAAGACTTTAACAAAACAGTGGGCACAGAATGTACAGGGGGTGAATGCTGTTGGAATCAGAAGAATGCAAAAGTCCAAATGAGGGTACAACATTTCACTGTTTTGATAGTATTGAACTTGCAAAGGGAACCCTTTGTGTCACTGAGTCAGCTGCCCCTGATAACAGAGATGCTTTGTGATAGAACTCAGGACAAGAATTGAAGGTTTCTTGAACATATCACCAACAATTCTACACAGTGACTTCTTGGGATAATTTTTACATTCTTGAAAAGCATGTTTTTTTGTTTAACTCTCACAACAATAGTGACCCAGGCAGGGTAAGTGATATTGTAGATGAGCAGCGCTAGGTGACTTGTCTTGTGATGGCCGAAACACAACCCAAATCTGCCTTCACATCTATCTACTTTTCATTGCATTATCCTGACTTCTAAAAGAAGTTATATATATTGAGACAGAGATACATATTCACAATGAACAGAAGGAAGCCTCAGGAGTTTTGAGGTGTGCTGTGACATTCCATGCTATTTATCTTCTGCTAACTATCTGTAGGGCTGTAAGCTTACTCAGAGCTCACATACAAGCATGCAGGTAACTGTAAGTCAACCATTGTGCTTGATCTTCGCCCCCTTCTTGTTCTGTGAGATGAAGAAGGCCTCAGATGCATTAGGCTCAGCAAGGCTCAGAAGCACTCCTATTTGCTACTTTGTTTTAAAAAAGGCTGTCTTGTGTTTCTGTTCCCTATTAGAGTTGAGTTCCTTGCCTGCTCTGTTTTCAGACATCAAGCCTTATTTTGATGTGTTTTTCTAACTCAGTTTCCCAAATGTATTTGATTATCAGAATCACCTGAAGAACTGTGATTTCTATGTTCAGGCAAGTTTAGGAAGTAATCTTAGCCTGATCCATTAGCCTATTTCTTGCAGTTTGTTGAGTTCTGTTAAGAACCAAGAACCATAGTGTGTTCCTGTAAGCCCTTGGTGTCATGCATTGCTCTGGCAGTAAATGAACTAAAACAACAAAGAAGTTAGGAGACAAGCATTCACTTCCTAAGGATCCTTTCCAAAGGTCAGGAAAGGCTCAGTGAATGTTGTGAATTATAATATATTGATTCACTATTTCAACAATGATTTGAGTGCATACTGTGTGCCAGGCATTCGTGCTAGGTGCTGGGGATACACAGCTGTGAACGAGGCAACTCACATTTATGGAAGTGCTTGTCATGGGATGGATATCAAGCTTCACATACCTTTTCTCCTTTAAACTTCACAACTGTCCTGTGAGGTAGGTATTATCACCTTCATTTTAAAATTAAGAAACTGTTATTTCAAAAGTTTGACCGATATGGCCAAGGTCACCTATCTAGTAACAGGGAGATACAGAATTCACACCCAGTCCATCAGATTCCACAGCTCATGCTTCTTATGCCATTGATCTGCTGCTTTACCATGGTATATATGTCTCTTCACTCTGCCCTTTCTACTTCAAACAGAGGTTCTCAACTGTGGCTACATATTAGAATGGCTTGGGAACTTTAAAATATGTATCTTTGCCTGGGCTTCACCCCAAACAGATTAAATAAGAATATTTGATGGGGCCCGGATATCAGCATTTTTAAAAAGCTGCCTGGGTGAGGCCAATGTGCAGTGACGGTTGAGAACCACTCAGCATCATTAATTGCTGTCAAATAGATACTGTTGCTGTCAGCCTAATAGTTTCCAGCATTCTTCTTGGATCATTTGGCTGATCAAATGTTTAAAGGTTCTAAATCGTTTTCCTTCCCTTTCAAACAAACTGAAAGTAGTCAAAATATAGCAAATACTTTAATGCAAAAGTTTCCCCCAAGATGGACATGATTTAGGAAGGAATTCAGAAACATGGAGATCTATTTGCAGGAGAAAGATAGTCTAGAGAGAGTGATGAGGAATAACCTGGAGTCTAGAACACCCATGAGCTTCTGGATCTCTTTTCTCGTGAGACTCAGAGGACCTGAAGATACTTTGTTTTAATCTGATGGGGGAAGAAAACCTTGGGACAAATGGTGGTTCAAGAAAGTTTCCTTCATCCTTGGTGAGCACAGGCCACAAATCAACTTACTTTTTTTGTGGTCCAAATGAAAGTAAAATAAAAGTTGAATAGTTTCAATTTTGTTAATTTGAATGTGTTAATATATGTGTAGACTAAGGTTTATTTTGAATGCTCTAAGAAAAATTACCCTAAGAAATAGAAGAATAGATATCTAAGTTTCTTCAAGTTATTTGAAAACCTTTAACTGCTCAAGCAATGCATCTGTATAGACATGTATAAACTTTTAAGAATTCTGTGTTTCAGGCTTTCAACACTTGGTTAAACATCTATGATGTGGTAGTGATATCTTGCTTTGCAAAGATGGCAATCTATTACGTGTTGACTCTCTGCTAATTAAATCTGGTTTTGCTTTGTCTTCAACCAGTGAGTTGTGACTGTCCTCTAAGAGAGGTTCTTCTCAAGGCATCTGTATCAAATATTAAGAGTAAAGGGTTAGTTAAAGTAATCACAAAGTTGTGGTCCATAAAATCCCTAAAAAGAGAAAGACAGGGAAAGTAAATTTGAGGTCACTGTATTTCAACAAGTGGAGGTACTTCTATGAGAAGAAAACATCAAGGCTACCAGGGGAGGGAAGCCTTTTTAAACCAATGGCTCTTTAGATAGAGAAAGAGCAATGACTGTTGCTCTATCATTATAAGTAACTTGAGGTGAGTCTTATCTCTGCATTTTAAAACTCAGCCCTCAATGTTGATAGGATAGTTGGATCATAAAGTTCCATTGGGGTTGAGTCATTTTATGACTATTACTAGAACAGGTAAACAGAGGGAAAAAAAAGAAAAAGAAAAACATGAAAAATGGCCTCCTTTTTTACATTTCCACATAGGTGATCTCCATACCAGGAGATGAACTTGAACTTGGTTGGGCGGGAGACGGACCTGGTTGGGCGGGAGACTGGAGCCCCTCAGAGAATTTGGGATTCTTCCATTTTTACTGGGAGGGTTGGCAGGTATAACATGTGTTGTCATGTGAAGTCCGTGAGAGCCTCCAGGGTTCTCACTCCCTGCCTCTCCGTGTGGTGGGGAGTCAGTCGCTCCTTCTGAAGCACTCGACTGATTTCTGTCTGTGGCTTACCCATGAACAGTGGCTTGGAAGTGTCAAAGCATGAGAAGCATGCAGCGGAACAGCATGTGTGCCGTCATCTCCTACATGGTTCTGCATGGGAAAGCTCTTGGGCTGTCTGCCTCTGAGCTCAGGTGTTTCCTTCTTTCCCTACAGAACTCCCTGAAGGCTTCAAATCGGAAGAAGAAGAGAACAAGCTTTAAAAGAAAAGCCAGTAAAAGAGGAACTGAAGTGAGTCTTGCAGGATTATGTTCCAATGAAATACTTCCTCCTTTCCGTAGCTGCCTCTGTCCTACAGGATCTGGCCCAAGCTTATTTTTCTGAAATATCTCCTACCACTCTTTCCTCCTCCACTACACTCTAACCACACTGGAATTCTTTCTTTTCCTAAAAAAATAAATAACATAACATATCCTCCTACCACTTCAGAGTCAGAGTATTTGCGTTTGCCTGGAAATATTATCCCAAAGATGATGATGATGAAGATAAGAGCTAACAGTTCTAGAATGCTTAGTGTATACAGAGTAAAATCATAAGCATGGCTTAATTCCCAGGGGCAAATTATAGTTTTTGAGATACTTTATTCCCAGTTTTATATGGAATGTCCTATTAAGAATAAGTTCCATGAAGTAAGATAGGTTTTTTTTGGGGGGGTTTTCCCACTTTCTTTGCTTTGGGGTGGCCTTTGAAGCCATGTGTGTATGTCTCAATAGTGCTGCTTTCTTATTTCAGCAGGAAAACAAAGGTCGTCCTTTTGTGATAAAACCTATCTCTTCTCCACTCATGAAACCCTTGCTTGTGTTTGTGAACCCCAAGAGTGGAGGCAACCAGGTAAGTTGTTTTTCGTGAGTTTACTTTAGAAGTTTCAGTGCTTTTGAAAACACAATTCCCAACACCAATTAAAATAGCACCACTAGGGCCCCAAGCGTTGGCAGACAACCAGTTTCTCAGGGACAGGGTTGCTCCAGTAGAGGACAGCCTTAAATGTTACAGGGTGGGCGAAACCTAGAGGGTCTGTGATTTACTCCTGTGCTTCCAGATAAGACTATAGCAGGGGTACTCCAAAAACTTAACTGCTGACATTCTCCTTACAGATTTATGGGAAAGGTCATTCTAGAATCTCTTGTTTAGTGTTTCAGGGTTTCTCAACTCTTATAGTTAGGAAGTTCTTTATGAACTTACCTTTCTTTTCTCCTATTGTTAAAGTTAGACGTGATTACTCTTGTCCCTATCCTCAGAGGAAAGAGAGAAGGATGACTCATCACTCACGATAATCATTTACAACAAACACCATTCACAACAAACGCCACCAGTGCAAACAAAAGTGTCACCTTCTACAGGTTTCATCTGGTCCTTGACCAAATTCTGTAATACAATATTAACCTCATTTGATGATAAAGAAATAGCTTTAGAAAAGTTGTTTAATGACATACCTGAAGTGACACATCTTTTTAAAGGATAGATTTTTTTTCTAGAATCCAGGTCTTTGTCTCATCTAATTTTCTTCCCACTCTCTGAGGCTTCTTATCAATACTCTTCTGTGGGCTTTGATTTTCTCTATTTTCATGTTAGATTGAATGACAACAAATTTTCTCTGTCCATTAAGTTAAGTGTATGTTTTACATTTTGAGGTAAGATTCTTTGAAGTTTCACATGAACCAACTAAAGATTCAAACCTATTTAGTCACCCTGAAGAAGGAAAGGGGTCATATAACTAGGATTGACCCAACAGTCCGAGATGATGTTTTTATTACTAAAGATAATGGGCATTTTCCAGCATGTATTAATTGCAATAAAGCTTCTCTTATGGGAGCTTTCAATTTAAAGAAAATATTATCCCTCCTCTCCTCTCTTTCTTCGAAATTCTTGATAACTTGCTGTGTTAAAAATCTCTATTAACATTGTAGAGAACAGGGAAAAGAAATGTGTTGTAAGCAGAGAAATAATCTGTTTTCAACATCCTGCTGTTTTTGACTTGCTGAGTGATGATCGTGTTGTAATGATGGTGATCCTAAGACTCTCACTGGAGGAGTACCTGGAGAGGAATTTCTCGGGAGTGAGGTTCAATTTGCCCTGAACCATACCCACTCTCTAGGTCTTGTCTCCCGATAGCCTAAGGAGGGCTGGGGGTGAGGTTCGGGACCAGGGAACAGAGCAAAGCTAATGTAATTGACTCCATGATTTTGGCCACCTGAGCACCACATGCTAATTAATGCCAAATATATTTTATTATGAGAGTCATAGAAAATGCATTTATGAAATCATAAGCTTTTTTCTAGGGCATACAGAAGCTTGTAGGTGATTCCTACCTTTGAGGAGCAGACAGTCCAGTTAAGATGTAGCCTGTTCTTGTTCAATCCCTGTATAGATTATTAATGACAGGGACTTCAGAGATGATCTAATGTTGCTTCCTATTTCACTAACTAGAAAACAGCTCAAGGAAGCCTAAGGAAGTTTCTAAGGACATATTGTTTGTTAATGACAAAAAAGGGGCAAATGGGAAAGATGATTCAAGCAACACCAACTGTATGTGAATTCTAAACTGAGTGGATCAGACCACAAGTGCTGTGGGATTTCAGAGGCAAGCAATGACTTGGGAGCAATAAGGAAATGGTGTCATGGAAGTGGTGAAATCAAAGATGGACACTGCTTAGTTACTCAGAGGAGAGAAAGCTGGAGTAATGCCCCTTTCCTTCTCTCTACTGTGGCAAATTCCTATTCATCCTTTAAGGCTCAGGAGCACCTTTCTGAACTGTTGCAAAATTAATCGCCCTGCCCACTGTGCTCCCATAGCCCGAGGTAAACACCTGTATTATGTGAATTGCAACATGACTGTTCTATGTGTGTCTGTACTGCTAAGATATAGGCTCCATAATGCCAGAGGCTGCACCTTTGAACCTGTGATTTCTAGTACATGGCATGTAGTAGTAAACAAATAATTGTGTAATAAACAATATGAAGAGAAGAAGGGATGTTGTGATGAAAATGATTCATTTTGAGGAAAAAAATGGGTGGAGTATGCATATTCAGTTATTAGAAATGTGATTAAAGATTAGAATGAGCCTATGGAACAGTGTCTTAAAACTTGGCTGAGGATTTTGGATTTGTACAATGGAAACTAGTCTTGCTCTTTAAAGTTTTTTAGTTTTTAAAAATATTTTATACTTTGAACAAAGGAGTGATATGATAGAAGCATCTTTAAGGAAGATTAATTTGACACATTGAGGATATATGTAAGTCAGGAGGATATTCACATAACTTTGGCATAAATTGGGTAGATGGATAGATCCAATGGATGGATGGATGGATGGATGAGTGGATGTATGGATGGATGGGAGGATGGATGGATGGATGGATGGATGGATGGATGGATGGATGGATGGATGGATGAGTGGATGTATGGATGGATGGGAGGATGGATAATTAATGGATAGATGGTGGGTGAGTGGGTGGATGGATGGATGGATGGTGGGTGAGTGGGTGAACAGATGGGTGGGTGGATGAGTGGATGGGTGGACAGATGGATGAATGGAATACATAAAGGGAAGTAAAACGTCATGATCAAGACTTTACAGCAGATTACCTGAATAGCTGCTTTGTTATTGATGAGTATTCAGGAAAGGGAAGAATTATTTTGGGAAAGAGGTTGAGATGTGTTTGAGGAATTTGAGGTGATAGTAAGATATTCCAATAAAAAAATGCCCAGTTATTAGAGACAAAAGACTTAAATGACTTTGCTGTCATTTTACGCATTTTGGCTTGTGAATCTGTTGCCCTAATGATGTTACTTCCAGAATATCTAGGATTCACAGAAGTATGAGAATCCAAACCAAAATGAATAACTTTAAATTTTTCTGTGTATTTCCTCTATGAAATAGAATTCTTTACTAAGCCTAATAAAGAACATTGTTTCTAAGTACAATGTGAAATATTGAGAAAACTGTAAAGAAATCCAAACACCCATGTACAATTGGAATCATTCAAACTAACCTTCAGCTGCTCAATCTATTTATAGTTCCATCTTCAGTCTTAGGAAGGCACAGCTTGATGCTCTGATTGTAGTGAATAGGAAAGAGTCATGGTCAGAGGTGATCTACCCCGCTGTTAGGACCAACCTTTTCCTGAGCTGTGGCTGTAATGTGAGCTTAACATTGCAGATGAGGGTAGATTCAGCCACATAATGGAGAGTCAGAGGATAAATTAAGTGGTCCCCTTTTGGCAAAACAGAATCAGAGGAAGAGAATTTCTCATTCCTCAGCTCCCTTGTTTCCTCCATACTTTTGCCCTCCCCTGCTCTGTTTTTTCTCTCTGACCCAAATGAACCATAGTTGAGACAAAGCAGCAAAAGAGAGCAGAGGTGGGCAGTGAAATCGAGGCAGGTGCACCCCAGGAAGGTGAAACTGGAGGGATACACCCCTTCTCACCTGGAGTTTCTCCTTCTAGAGTGTTCTGTGTGCAAATGTTACATAGTGTAATGTTCTGTTGGGAAAGGGAGACCATTCAATTTTACTTACCTGTAGATAAGAGATTAGTAACATGACCTCTACATCTATTTGACATCCTCAGTCATAAGAACCTTTGACATACCACTCATCAGAATTCTTATTTGGAAATTTTCAGTTTCAAGAAACTTCAGTCCAAAATTAGTCCAGTGGCTGTCAAACTTTTGTGTAAATAAAAAACATGGAGACACTTGTTAAAAATGCTCTACCGCACAAAATCTGATGCAGTGAGTCTGAGGTGAGGCCTGGAACTGTCAATATTCAGTAAGCATCTCAGGTGATTCTGATATATGTGGTTGGTGGAACACGCTTAGAGAAACATCATCAGTCATTTCAGAATCTCTGAGAATACCTGGGACCTGTGTGAGGAGCACACCAGGTGAGAATTTATTTGAGATGAAAATTTATTGATTTGTTTGGAAAACAGCATCTTCCCTTGCCCTTACTATTGTCAAGGCTGCTCCTCTCTTAGCTTAGAGCAGCGGTTCTCAACCCTGGCTGCACATCAGAATAAGCTGGGCATCTTTTGATGTCTTCCCTGCCCCATACCAATTAAATCAGAGCCTGCGAGGGTAGGCCCCCTTAGCTGGTATAAGTTCCCCAGTTTGTTGTGTAGCCTGTGTTGAGAACCATGGACTTTTCTTCTCTAGCTTTAATGTGACTATGAATGGCTTGGGGACTGTGTTAAAATGCAGATTCTGATTCAGTGAGTCAGGGGGTGGCCCTGAGATTCTGCTTTTCTAACAAGCTCCCAGGTGATGCTGTTGCTTCTGCTCGGAGACCACGCTCTGATTAGCAAGGGCTTACTGCCATCAGTAGAGAAATCGTTTGTGGTTTTTGTTGTTAAATCCTGTTTTTGCCTTTTCATAGATGTATTCTGCTCATTTGCTTCTAGATATAAAGCACTCCCCTCTCTTCTGTTCTTGAAGCTTACACTTCAAACTTTAAAAAAAAAAAAACTTGGTTAGGCGTCTGTTCTTTAAATAACTAGACTGTATCGCCATCTGCTGGCAAGTAAAATATCTCTCGCTTTTTTCTTTTCTTCCTACTGTATTTTATGTGTACGGAAAATTGCCAACACTTAGCAGGAATATAATGAGATGAATGCACATGGGGACTACTTCTATGTCCTTCTCTTAAGCAATTCCTTCTTTTAAACAGATAACTTCCCAATAATTTTCTCCGTTTTTCTAACACTATTAAGGTGGAGATAATACTGGGTGTTTTGCAAAGCTTTAGAGGTTGGTGGCACTACTGTTACTGTTGGGATCTGAATTATTTGAAAGAATAAGCACTGGAACCAGGGACCACAGTATCAACTTTGAGTGT